TGAAGCAATGTTATCACTGACAGCAGAGGTCTTCTTTCTCACGCAGAACCAGACTGAAATCGCCTTTAGGCAATGTGTCCTTCCCTTCTGTCTCTCTCTGATATTTCCCCGACATGGCTTCTTCCCCTATTAAAATGGGAGCTTGGAGGGAATTTAGAAAGGAGAAAGGAGGGACATGCTGTGAATTTTCATAGACCCCTCACTCCCCTTAAATAGCCACCAAGTTTTGTTTAAACAGAGGATTCACTGTTAAAGTGAAAAGTGAATAGATTCACTATTAAAGGATTCACTATTAAAGTGAATAGCGAATAGATATCCAGAACATATCCATATCCTTCTGCCTTTAGCAAAATACCTAATAGAAATGCATACATATGTGCGTGATAGGGTGCGCACGAGAATATTCCTCATGGTTTTATTCACAATGGCCAAAACCAGAGAACAACTCAATGGTGACCAACAAGAGATGGATGAGAAAACTGTGGCATATTTGCTGTGATATGAATGTTGGTGTCCCCCCCCCAAATTCATATGTTAAAACTTAATCCCCAATGTGATAGTACGAAGAGGTGGGCTTCGGGGTGGTGATAATGTCATGAGGGCTCTGCCCTTATAAATAGGATTAGCGCCCTTATAAAAGAGGACTGAGGGGGCTTGTTTGCTCCTTCCGCCATGTGAAGATACAAAAAGGTGTCACCTATGAGGAATGGGCCTCGCCAGACTCGGAATGTGCCGGCACCTTGATCTTGAACTTCCCAGCCTCCAGAGCTGCAAGCACTAAATTTCTGTAGTTTACAAATTGCCCAGTCTGGATGTATTTTGGTATAGCAGCCCGAATGGACAAAGACAATATGCACACGACAAACTACCACACAGCAATAAGAAAGAATAAACTTCTGCTCCCTGCAACGAATAAATACATCTCACAAACATAATGTTGCATGAAAGAAGCCAGAAATAAAAGCACGCACACTGTGTGATTCCATTTATACACATCCCAAACTCGGCAAACCTAATCTGGGATGCTGTTTCGGAACAGTGATTTCCCTTGAGGGGATGATAACTGGGAGAGGGCAAGAGGAAGGTCCCGGGCGCTGGTAAGGTTTTATTTCTCAAGTTGGATAGTGGTCACCTGGGTGTATTAATGTGGTATATCTTCATCCTGCTGTACGCCTGTGAAATATACACTTGTCTGTATATAAATAAGATAGTAAAACTCACTGTTAAGATAAAGAAATAAATAGCATTAAATTTTAATTTGGGATCATGTTTTATTCCCAGGTGTGATTTAGACCCTTGGCTGGGCAGACTAAAGCACAGTCAATCTGGTTCAGATTAACACACCAACTAGTCAACCCTGTGGAGATAGACTAGTCACCATTAACACAGGCGAGACGAAAGCTGACTAGCAAAATTTCAGTGTAGACACCGTGAGCTGCACAGTACTGGCTCAGCTTATAACTTGCTCCAGCCAGTAATCTGGGAGAATCTCATGATTTACACATTCATTTACAAGGGGGGACTAATAAATGTGCCCAAAGGGTTTAAGTGGCAAAGATGCTATTAATGATTGAGCTAGGCCCAGAGCCTTTCTCACACGAAACAGTAATTGTTTGCACAGCTTGTGAAAATGCCAGACCATGCTTAAAGGTTTACAACTTCTTAAGTTATAAAAAAAAAAAATGACAAAAAAGATAAGTGATGAAAAGGCAATAAATGTCACACACTGAGGGCATGTGCCGCCGTGTCCTGTACTGAGCCGTGAATAAATGGCGGGGACAGCCTTGCAGACAGCTGCTTTATGGCCCTCGTTACTGAAGCCTGTGCAAAACCTCTGCCCGCCCGCGCCTGACTCCAAGGTCTAGCAGATACCCAGGAGTTTGAGACACTTTTCCTCTGGGGAGATGCCCACTCGGCGAAGCTCGGATGGACATCCATGGCAGGGCTGTGCCCAAGATTTGGACCTGGCTGACTGATCCGTTCCATCTTATTAGCGTTGGCTGGTGGCTAGGATCAGGGCATACAGCCCGAGGCCGGACCAGGGTTCTCCATGGGAATCCACTCACGAGCAGGAAGGTGGGCTCAGGATGCATGCCTGGGGCTGCCCGGAGGGTCACTTTCCACGGCCACATGGGAGACGCTTGTCTGAGTTAGAAGTTTGAGGCCCGCAAACACAGAGAAGCAAATGCAAGCAGAAATAATCCGGGGAGGGGCTGACTGCCCAGTGCTGGGCACCTGCTTCCTGCACCTTCTCCTTCTCCATGAGCCTCTCCAGATTTTTCCCAGCCATGCCAGACAACAAAATGCCTTTTTTCTTAAGCTAGTTTGAATTGGATTTCTGCTCCTTGGCAACAAAAGTCCCAACAGACACACCAGTAAATGTGGAATTGGGAGCACAGGAAAGTTACGAGTAATAATCACCCAGGGGGAGGGGGTAGAGAACAGAGCAGTGAACACGCAGTGGGCCCCAGCCGTCTGGGGGAGCTTAGCATCCACTCTGCCATTATCAGCTGGCTCCTGGTGCTGCCGGGTGACAGCATCCAAGTCCCAAGTGGAAGTTGCCTCAGTTTCTTCCTTTGATTCCTCCCAGGTTTCACTGCAAAAGTATAGAGACCTCTGCCATCCACCTCAATACCTTTTTCTCTTCCCAAACGCTCAGTTCCCTCTGAGGTTACTAGCCCTGGGCATGCCAGCCCTGTGCATTCGCTTGCCCAGAATGGCACCGCCAACATGGGACTCCTAAAATTTTGGCACGTATGTTGAACCGTATTACACTATGTGTATATTAAACAACCATTCTGATTTCATCACTTCATTCTCAAAATGCTTAGATTCATCACATAGAAATTGAGAGGAAGGCCCGGCGCGGTGGCTCGTGCCTATAATCCTAACACTCTGGGAGGCCGAGACGGGAGGATTGCTTGAGCTCAGGAGTTCGAGACCAGCCTGAGCAAGAGCGAAACCCTGTCTCTACTATAAATAGAAACAAATTAGCCAAACAACTAAAAATAGAAAAAATTAACTGGGCATGGTGTCGTGTGCCTGTAGACCCAGCTACTCGGGAGGCTGAGGCAGGAGGATTGCTTGAGGCCAGGAGTTAGAGGTTGCTGTGAGCTAGGCTAATACTATGGCACTCTAGCCCGGGCAAAAGAGTGAGGCTCTGTCAAAGAAAAAAAAATGGAGAGGAAGATGTGCATCCCTTCATTATCGCATTGGCTGCCTGTTGTCATTGCTGATTTGTGTGTGTGTGGCACAAAAGCATGCCTGTGAGCAGAGACCCTATCATACTGAATTTGTGTACCCAGCCCCTGGCCTGGTTCTTGGGACCTACGGGTGTCTGATGCCTCCCCACCATGTGTAAGCAACGCTTAGAACTCCACAGAACCCCGTGCTTCTCGAAGTGTGGGCCCTGGCCCGGCAGCCTCAGCCTCACCAGGGAAGAGGTTGCACCTGCGGGATCCGGCCCCATCCCAGAACTTCCGATTTGTGAGCTGGGTGGTTTGTATGCTCAGTGAAGTTTGAGAAGCACTGCCTTCGGGGACAAAAGACCCAGAAAGGGTCTTCAAGCCTGGTGGGGGACGTGACTAGATACACCACAAACAATAAATAAATAAATACATAAATAAATATAAAAAAGAACAAAAGAAAGTAAAAGCAGGCAAAACCAACCCTAAAACCTATGTAATCCAAAGCAGAATGTGGCATAATTTGTCAAGGTAAAAAGTGCAGACTATTCTGGAAGCAGCGTGAGGTCCCGGATGTTGGGGAATAGACTGGCCAAGTCAAAGAGTGTGTGGGGTGGCCCGGGAAAGAGAGAGGCAGGTGGGTACCAGAAGTGCAGGTGAGGGGTGAGGAGGGCCTCAACCAGGCAGGTGACAATGATAAGAAGGGGCATGCAGGGCGAGCCGAGCACTCTGAGGCGTCAGGAGCTGATTGATGGGAGAAGGGGAGAAGGGGGAGGAGTCAAGGGAGGGTGAGGCTCTGCACCTGTAGGGCTGGGGCAGCAATGCCAGTGAGCGCCAGGCCGAGGCAGGCCCTGTAGGAGCGAGTTCTGGGATCTGCACGCCCTCTCTGCTCTGCAGAACCCCCTGGGCCAGTGGGAAGAATGGCAGCTGGGAAAATCTTCTCTTCTGCTAGGGCAAGACAAGCAAATCATGCCTTTTCCTTCTCCCATCTTTAAACTGGGGGAGATCTTTAAGATCTCCTGTGTGCTTGGGTGTTTGTATCCAGAGGAGACACCAGCTCATAAAAGCAGGCAGATAGCTATCAGGTTCTTAATCTTAGAAATCTATTGAGGTGGTAAAATGAAAAAATAAATTAACGGTACCACTTCAGCACCTAAATGAATTGGGTTTTGGCCAGTTCTGCAGGAGGCTTCTGCAAGAACTCAGCAAATGATTTCCAATTTGCAACACAGCTCAAAGAGCATTTAATAGGTGCAATTTGGTGATGATTACAATGCTGCTCATATCAGCAGCATCTACCCAGTTAAGCAAACGTTTCTGGGGAACGGCAATGATGAACCGGCTCCAGGACGCTGCTGAGGAAGCGGCCCCTTTGCCAAGTGGACAATGGTAATTCCAAAGGCGCTGGCTGGGCATTCTGCTGTTTTAACGATTTGCCTCCCTAACCCGTGCCCTCCGCGCCCCGCCCCCAGCTGCTGATCTATCGCCCTAAGCAATTCTTCTGGCCACGAACGTGGTGGTTTAGGGGAAGGCGTGGAGAAGCCGGGCCCTGGAGACCAAGACTCTCCAGGGAAAGCACAGGAACGAAGTAGGTCAGGGGGCTCCCGGGCAGCGCTGCCCTGCCCTGCCTGGTGCAAGCCCTGCGCTGCTGGACAGGACAGCCGGGCAGGGGGATGCTGCCGACCCGGGCTCCAGGCTCTCTCGCCCTCCGCCCTGGCCGCCCCTCCTGCCCGCCCTCGCGCAGCCCCGACCCGTGGGGGCGCGCGGCCTCCCGGGGCTCCTGCGGGCGGGCGGGCGGGCGCGGCGGGGAGAGCCGGGCGTGCGAGCCGAGCCCGCTGCTCACCTGCCGCGGCGCAGCTCACCTGCCACGGAGCGCGCCCTCCCGGCCCTCCCAGCCCAGCCGGAGCCCAGCCGCCGCCCCTGGCCGCCGCGGGCACCGGCGCCCGCCGACATGCGACTCGAGTAGCTCGCGCGCTTTGGAAGCACCGGAGGAGCCCCCTCGGCCTGGGCGCGCCAAGGTGACCCCCTGGATGATCCCCCGCCCCCGCGGGCCGCCTGTCCCCGCGCCCTGCCTGCCCCTCCCGTCCGCCCGTCCCCGCCGCGAGCGGAGCAGCGGCCGTGCATAGGCGTCTGTCTGTCTGTCTGTCTGTCTGTCTCGGCACCTCCACTGCACACACCTGCCTTTTGCGGCCCGCCCCGATTGCCCTGTGCACACGCGGGGGTCTGGGACTCCTCTTTGTTCCTGCCCGGGGTGTGTGTGAGGGCGTGCACGCTCGCGAGGGGTGTTTCTGGGGGTGGGAGTTCGATGGAAACAGGCGATTTGAATATTCCATCGAGGAAGGCGGCCCCCGGCTGGCGGCTTGCGGGCCGCGTGGCCTCCGCGGCGGCAGCCCAGATGTCAAGCGGTCGGCCGCTGTCAGCATGCAAGACGCGGTTTCCAAGCGTGCGTCCCCCGCGCCCTGGCGCACCGCCCGCCGCGCGCCCGTGTTGCGCCCGCCTGGCTCGCGCGCGGGTCTGAGTGCGACCCCGCGTTTACCCGGGAGCCGGAGCCGGAGCCGGAGCCGGAGCAGGACGGCGTTTTAGTTGTGGGCTGCAAACCACGCACACTTTGGCTTTTGTTTCAATTCGCAACAGTTGTGATTCCCGACGCTTGTGGCATTTGATATACTGGTGTCTGAGCAGGGGCTGGCTTTCTGTTTGTCTGTGTGTCTCTTGCATGCTCTTGGATCGTCGCCCTGCTGTGTCTAAGCATTAAAAAGCGTGTCTTTTCGTTGAAGAGGACGGGGGTTAAGATGAATGAAGACCTGAAGGTCAATGTAAGCGGGCTGCCTCCGGATTACCTAGACGCCGCCGCCGCGGAGAACGCCTCGGCCGCCGTCTCCTCCCGGGTTCCCGCTGGAGAGCCCGAGCCCGAGCTGGCCGTCAACCCCTGGGACATTGTCCTGTGTACCTCGGGAACCCTCATCTCCTGTGAAAATGCCATCGTGGTCCTCATCATCTTCCACAACCCCAGCCTGCGAGCGCCCATGTTCCTGCTCATAGGCAGCCTGGCGCTGGCGGACCTGCTGGCCGGCGTCGGCCTCATCGTCAACTTTGTCTTTGCCTACCTGCTGCAGTCGGAAGCCACCAAGCTGGTCACCATCGGCCTCATCGTCGCCTCTTTCTCTGCCTCCGTGTGCAGCTTGCTGGCCATCACGGTGGACCGCTACCTGTCGCTGTACTACGCGCTCACCTACCACTCGGAGCGGACGGTCAACTTCACCTACGTCATGCTCGTCATGCTCTGGGGGACCTCCATCTGCCTGGGGCTGCTGCCCGTGCTGGGCTGGAACTGCCTGCGCGACGAGTCCACCTGCAGCGTGGTGCGGCCGCTCACCAAGAACAACGCGGCCGTGCTCTCCGTCTCCTTCCTCTTCATGTTCGCGCTCATGCTGCAGCTCTACGTCCAGATCTGCAAGATCGTGCTGCGCCACGCCCACCAGATCGCCCTGCAGCACCACTTCCTGGCCACGTCGCACTACGTGACCACGCGCAAGGGGGTCTCCACCCTGGCCATCATCCTGGGGACCTTCGCCGCCTGCTGGATGCCTTTCACCCTCTATTCCTTGATAGCAGATTACACCTACCCCTCCATCTACACCTACGCCACCCTCCTGCCCGCCACCTACAATTCCGTCATCAACCCTGTCATATACGCGTTCAGAAACCAGGAGATCCAGAAAGCCCTCTGCCTCGTCTGCTGCGGCTGCATCCCGTCCGGCATCGCCCAGAGAGCGCGGTCGCCCAGCGACGTGTAGCAGTGGGCGCCCGGGAGGGTGCGCCCGGGAGGGTCCTGCACTTACCAAGCACTTCCACTGCCCGGCCCGGGGCCAGATGCTTCCCTTGAATTCTTTGCATTGGATTCTCTGTCAAGCCACGGAGCGCTCAGCACTCGTGCAACAAGGACAGCATTTACATGAGCTAAGTGTCTGAAGTGAAAATAATGTTACCAGTGTTTTCACCACTTAAAAAAAAAAAATCATTGAGTTTTCACTCAGTTATTATTTTGTTGTGTTTGGAGGCAGGGGTTTTTGCTTTATATATTTTGTTTTGGAAGGTTGCTGGTGGGTGGGAAAGAAAGGGCTATGATATGACCAGGATTTTATCAAAAGCAAATGAGTCCCAGAGTTTTTGCCTGGACTTTAAAATAAATCTGAGTTATTGAGGAAAATCGAGAAAGAATTACTTTCTCCAGACTTTTTTTTTTTTTTTTTAACATGAAGATAGAGTTTTAAATGCTGCATGCATCTGACAGAACATGATCCCTTTCAAGCAGACAAAAATAGTTTACATGATTACGTTTGGGAGGGACCTGATTTTGTTAACTTGATCTCAGTAACCAGTCACCGACACTGAAACTATGAACCTGTTCTTATTCATGCTTTCTCTCCGTTCAGCAATTACTGTTCATGAGAATTACTTTGGTACTTCTTTAAATGCTGCAACTCTGCATGGTTGCCTGTGTTAGCTAGACCACTAGTTTCAAATGTTGCCATGTAAATCCAGAATCAAAAGAGTCATTTTTTCAATACAGTTTTGCAATATTCCCTTCTAAGACAAATCGTAAAATATGTTTTGAATTTCGTATGACATAGGACTGATTAGATCCCCCATTATGGTTTCTTAAGCTGTAGTCTGATTGTTTTCAGGAAACAAAAGGAAAAAAAAATATTAATAACAGCTATTAAAAGCAGATTAAATTTATTTTAGTATATTCTGAAAAATAAATAAATATGAAAGCATTACCTTTACTGTTTCTATCTAAGAATGTATTAGTAGGTATTCTTGATTGAGACAATTGGAATTAAATATTATAGCCCAAGTTTTTTCATATCATCTGTGGTGCAAAATGCATTTGAAACAGGTGGTCCCTTATTTTAATGATAAAATTTGTGAGTGCATAACATACCTACATGACAGTGATGTATGTTACAAGCAGAATGACCATGTGGCTGTTTGTGAAAAGTTACGTTTGAAATCCTTTCCTTCTTTTCACCAAAAAAAAAAAAAAAATTTAAATGCAATAAAAACTGTATTGCCTGATTTCAGAGAGCAAGAATTTAGTCAGGACGTAACAAAGAAGAATTCGTTTTAAACTTACTGTAACATCAGTGTGTCAGAGTGTCATTTCTGTTACTGCAGACAGATGTAAACACAGATACCTTCCCTCCATTTTCAAGGGATTTACAGTTGTATCTACACAACTAACCAGGAAAAGAATTTCTTGGCAGCACATCAACTTAGCCCATTCAGACTGCAGCAAGATCAGTATTTCTGGGTCGTTGGGGAATCATTTGTAACAAATTAACCTCACCAGCTTGTCTCAAATGTTATGCCCACAGTGGTCTCAGACCTTTCTGGTAGCCTGCACGCTGATGCTGTCTCTCCAAAGCCTCTTCTAATGTAGCACAAGTGTGAATAAATCCTCTACTTGAATCTGTGTCTCCTCCCTGAGGTTACTTATGGAAGCAGGAGAGGGACTGAAATATTTAAGAAGTGGGAAAGAATTTTCAATACATTTTACTGTATGAGCAATCAAATCAAGTGGATGCCTTTAAAACATTTCTGTTGAACATTCCATGGAGTTGATAGATTGAATATGAGTCTGTTCTACATCACTTAACATGTGATGGCATCCCTATGGGAGAACTGACAAAGGTAAGTTGGTTTTGACGTGGGCTGGGAAATACCCATAACGAGGGTGTAAAGCAATAAATGATGTTTTGTGAAATGGCGGTTCCATTTGCATATGTCTACTAGTAGGGATAACAATGACAAAATGCGTGCTATTGTTGACCACGTTGCGTGCCAGGCCTCATGCTGGGTGCTTTACCTGGTCTTCTGCTACAATCACAAAAATATACTTTTTCAAGTGAGAAAACAGAGACAAGAGAGGAGAGGCTCAGAAACCAGTCCAAGGCCACAGAGCCACAAGTGTAGAACTAGAATGTGAAGGCAAGTTTTCCAAAGTCTAAGTCACTGGATATGAGGGCTGGGAAAACTGATTTTTTTTTTACATGTTCTTATCGCAAAGTTTTGTTTCTATAATCAAGACATATAAGTTTCTGTTTAAAATCACATGTGGCACGACTACAGCGTGGCCCTACTAGAAGGAGGTCTGTTCTCACCGTGTTCCTAATGCCAGTATGGAATGATGGTCTTACAAGCACTAGTTAAGGGGTTGCTTTGGGCCCATGTTTTTAAAACATCTGATTTCAGCTAAGAGATTATTCTCAATGCAGCTATAACATGTCCTTATTGTTTACTTTAAATTTTGAGGATTTTTGGGTGTTTATGTGGTTTTCTACAAGCCTTGTTTTTTTCCTATGATGTTAGTTATTTTAAAATGTGCACATTATCTCAGTATATAGGTGTGTGTGTGTGTGTGTGTGTGTGTGTGTGCACGTATGTTCAGTAACATTAACTTTGCAACAGGACCAAAATAAATCATGGAGGACAGTCATATTTCCAACAGTCCTGGGGTAGCAGGTAATCTTTTTACTTCCCGTAATTAAAATTTCTAGCTACCAAGGAATTTCTATTAGTTCCAGTAGAAACGGCTATCCTTGTAGCTAAGATAGGTCAGTTACCTTACCAGAAGCCTTGGTTAGGCGAGACTACTTGCCCCGGTTGTGGCTTTCCAGGGTCTTGTTTCCTTTCGTCCCCTTAACTCTTTACTTCTGTAAACAGTTCCTGGCAGGGGAGGAGGGTGCAGTTAGAGCACCTCCTGCCCTGGAAGCCTGAATTACATAGCCAAGTTGCAGAGGGGAGGAATCCTCAGTTGTCCTGCAAAAACCGTCTTCCATTCCTCCAGGATTTAAAGCAGGATTGAAACAAGATGTTTAAAAGAGCAGATGATGCATAGGGATACTTAATACCAATAAAAGTATCTTGTGGACTTCTTAAACTTTTTTTAATGCTTAATCCATCATTAACATAATGTTGCCTTTATTTCATGGTAATTATATTTACCATATGCAGTTAGGATGACTTACCATTTCAGATTTGAAATACGGATTAACTAAGTGACTACATTTAACTAACTAAACGTTATTTTGAATAACATTGTAAGTTTATACAATAACATTGTAAGTTTGCACCTAGACTGTATGCCTGGTAAAATAAACAGACTGCCTTCTAGTCCCCTTGAAACATTTTAATGGTTATATTGGATGGTTTCGGTATCTGGCTAGAACCTTTAAATCTGTTTAGAACTTAACCATCACCAAACTGATAGTTTTGTATCTCATGGTTTGAATTAGCAGACAAAGCTGTCTTGTAGCAAACAATGCAAAAAACAATTACTGGTAATCTTGACTAGGGCTCCTCACACTTTAAGTATCTAAAGGGTATTAAACCACCTGAGAATCATTTAAAATGCAAATTCTGCTTTAGTAAGTCTGGGGCATGGCTGAGTTTCTGACAAGCTCCTGGGTGATGCTGACCCTGGCGGTCAGCGGACGACGCCTTTAGTCTCGAGGATGTGTCACAGTGTTAGCATCCCTAACATGTACATATTACATAAAGATGTTATATAAATAAACATGTATATTTAAAGTGTTTCTTCTTCTCAGAGGTTCACAGATAATTAGTCTGTGTTTGATATGAACTTTTCCCAGAACAACTCAGAATCTATAATAGCAAAGATCTCTGATCTATAAGTCTATTTTTCCATGTTAATGATCTCACTTTGTAAAATCCTAATTATCATTATCTTAAGATAGTTTGTTCAGAAATGTTATACATATGCAGTGTGTATCTAGAGGTGTATGTGAGTATACCTAGCCACTTGTGCACCTCCACTTATTCAGCTGTCTCTGGGACATGGTGGTTTGAGTTTGGGGGTTGTGTGCGCCTTGTGTGAGTTCGTCTTGAGATAATTGAGACAGAAACCTCTGTTCCCTGGGTTCTGAAATTCAACTGAACTCTTCCCAAAGCAACATTTTTCTAGACAAATCCATCAGAGAATTTTAAAAATATGCTCGCCTTCATTTGACATTTATCTGTAACCTTTTATTTTTCAGCATCAAATATACTATTGTATTAATGTTAACATGACCAGTCACTGTTACTGTGCTTCCTTTCTGCCCAAGGAGGTGAGAACGTTTTTATCCAGTACAAGTATGTTAAAGTACATAGTTGAGTTTGTATATATATATAATTTAAATATATCTATTGTATAAGATATTTACAGAAGAGATCGAGGAATTTTTAATTATAAAAATTCAAGTACTAGCATCAAACACCAGTGAACAAACTCTCCACTGAAAATAAGTTTGAGGCAGAAATGGAAACATTTACTAGGGCACGGATTCCCTTGGTAGTTGACTATTAGAATGAATAATTACCACTAGAATATTTTAGAAAGGCAAAAGAGCATCTTATGGAATTCTCTGCAAGGCTTACATTTGCATTTCTCACCAAACAACACACTCTGAATCCATGGTGTTCTTTATTTGGGTTGATGAAAACATAAACCTTCCATATACAGAGAGACAATGGCCTGTCTTTCACAGACATCGTGTTACTGGGCTAAAGCCTAAGGGAAAACTGATGCTGATCCAACCATAGCCTTCCTCCTTCCAGGATCCTCGTGAATCACCCAGTCGAGATATCTTTGGAAACAGAATTTATACACTTTCCACCAGTGCTTAGCAGCGTTTTGATATTCCGAAACTCAATCTTTCTTACTACGCTCTACTTCTAATTTTGGCTTGGCCCAGCCTTTGGAGATACAGAGAACTCCTTACTCCCAGCCAACACTGAATGTAGTGACAATAGTCACGAAACGGTATTTCTCTTTTCTTCTTCAAATACAATTATCCCAGTTAAATCATGTATTTCTAATTTTATCTCATTTTGACATTTTTTTCTATCTCATTTTGACATTTTTTTCTTTTTCCCATATCACCTACGATTTCTCTGCATACCTCCTCAAATCCAGTAATCAAAATGTGGAGATTGTATACATATACATATATGTACACATTCCACTAAATGGAGTGCTGCGTGGAGGAGAATGATGGCTTGTTTCCTGCTTCTGCTGCCCGTAGAGCAGTGGGTCCCTGAGTACAGGCCCCAACTAGCAGCATCCCTTGCAACATGTTAAAATTGCAGTCTTAGGTCTCACCCCAGGTTTGCTGCTCGGAAACTCAGGGTACGAGGCCCAGGGATCTGAGTTTCAATAGGCTCTCCAGGTGCTTCTGAGGCACGGTGGAGTTTGAGCACCTTGCCAGGTGCCTTCGGCTGAATCCTCGCATCTCACTGACATCGCCGATGACATTAACGTCTCGGGGTCACGGGACCTCTCAGCTTTTTGTGCTGTGCCAGGGCCAGGCAGGCAGTCCTCGCGCTGTGCCCTTACAGATGACGTCGGTTTGCAGAGGTACCGCCTTGCGCTGATTTCCGTGGAACCTGTTGCCATTGTCAAGGTTATCGTCTAAGTCGTCAAGCTCAATTCAGCCCCTGCCCCTTCCATTAGCACTGTGTCGCCGTCATCTGTCATGTGTCATGGACCTCAGACAGAAAGACAATTCAGTGAGAAGGAAAAAATCCAAGGAGACCTCTTTCTGGGTGGTCATGGAGACAAGTCTTTTCCTTTTCCGGTGCATGACCTATCTATGAATTTGCCAGAACATTCCACCGTCAGGGCCTCAGCCATCCAGCTGTGCATGATCCGTCCATCTGCACCCCATCTCCTGTCACGTGATTATGCACACACGTGTGCATGTGTGCAGCCATGCACTTTGCCTTCCTCTCTCATACTTCCACATCCTTCCGCCTTCGTTCTCTAATCCCAGACCCGAAATCTTCAGCGAGGACGTCCAGAGCACCGGGGCAGTGGGCTGAGGGTCTGATCCTCGGGCTGGCGCCGCTGTACCCGACAGGCGCAGCCTCGGCGAGCCCAAGTCTGGACAGAAACACTTCCGTGATTCTGTGCTGAGGACGGTTGCTAGGATACAGACCGGTTGACCTCTCACCCCACCCCGACACTTAACGTTATCATCCTAAGGTTCTCGGTCCAGAAAGACCAATAAACAAGAGCCCCAACAAACAGATTTTAAGCAGCACTGTTCTGAATCCGAGGGACCGACCCGATGCTAGAACTGAGCCGCCCCTCTTGACACTTGGTGCAGACGGATGTCACTCTCATGGTGCTCTCTGTCCTTTCCACATCACTAAATTGATCAGGTCAGCTTTCTTTAGGAATGTTTGAAGCTAAGAGAACATAGTTCAAGTACTCAAAAATGTTTATTATTGAAGACCCTCTCTTTTTGTAAGTTCGAGGTCCAGTTCTTAAGCAGCAGCAAATCCAGCCAACGTGGCACAGAGTGACCGTTCCCCTCGGAACAGGCTTTGGGACAGAGGCGGCTACGCTCCCAGCTCCATGACTGGATAGTTTTCAGATGTGGATGCGTTTTTTCGCTTGAGACTTTTGGGATGTCTTCACACAAGAATCTAGCTCTTGCTGAAACACTCGAATCCAGAGGCGATAACTAAAGTAACCCCGAGCCCGGAGCCAGGAGGCCCGGCTGAAAGCCGTGAGACACACCGCTTGGGCCTCGCTCTGCCCCAGCTTGCGTCCCTCCCATGTGAAGTCCGTCAGGGGAATGAGGCTTCCCCCCCCCCCTCCACTCCTGCAAATTTAGCACTAACAAAAACTGCCCACAGGGGGAAAGGCAGGGCTGGCCCAGGGCTGTGCGACAGCCCACTTCAACCTGTGCTCATTGCCAAGTCTCCCCTCTGCGCAAAGTAACTGCTTTAGTCTGGGAGCTCTTGACACATCCTGGGAGTGCTTTCTCGACGGTGTGTTTCCAAGCCTGTTCACCCTACCCCTGTTAGCGTGAAGACAGCTTCTCCCGCTTTTCAGACTTTGTTTTCCCTCTCGTTACTCACTGGCTCTTACGGACTCGTTCCAGGAGGCTGCTGAGGTTGGAGAGGTTTGGAAAATAAAACCTGGTGCCTTCAGAGTGGCCACCTTGACGAGTAGACCTTGATGGAGTGACACGGCTTGAACCAGCCATGTTGATGACAGATGCCGCTGAGATGTGAACCGACAGTTCCATGGTCTTCGTTAATAAAGCGACTAAGAACACGAGGTCTAGACTTAGGCTGCCTGGGTCCGTGGCCCACCTCTGTCACTCCCTGCTTGACTGTCCCTGGGCAAGTCACTAAACCTCTCTCAGCCTCCAGGTCCTTGTTTTCCGAAATGAACAGGCTACAAGAACCTGCCTCATGCTGTTGGCTGAGATAAAACATACCAAAGTTTTAATATAGCACTTGGCTCATATTTACTTGTGTGCTACTTTCCAGTAGTATTATTGCTACGGTTGCTGTATTGGTATTATTATTACTGCTACTTGCTCCAAAGCTGCCTGTTACTAACATCGCTTCTACTAGTGGGCGAGCTAGGAACCCAGACAAAAGCTTCACATACAGTATCTCATGCAGCAATGCTATGAGGTATGCGTTGATGTTCTCCGTTGCAAATAAGGAAGCTATTGCACAGAGAGGTTAAGTGACTTTCCTAAAACCACACAGCCTTTGTGTAGGTCACTGCAAGCACTTAGAAACAAGCAGAGCCTGCTAAGAAATGCCAGTCTAATCAGCCAAGCACAGCCTGTGCATGAGAAAGTAAGAAGATTCTCCAAAGGCCATGCAGGCTTAGTGCCAGAGGAGCGGCACAGACACACGCAGGCACGCAGGGGCCCGGGTAGGAGGCGCTGCAGGGCAGACAGGCTCCGTGGAGACCAGGGGATGCTGATGGCCTCAAAGGGCGGACTGGACCCAGGTAAGAGCACAGAGGACCAAGGAGTTTTCCAGAACGAGTAATCATGGTGGGATTCAAAGGAGTGAAGTGGAGATGACTTGACCTCATTAGGAGTGGAGGTGACACAGAGAAATATATTTTTTTAAATAACATTTTAATTTGGACCAGTTCTCAAAAAAATCCTGAAAATTGCATTTAAATGAACTTCAGTATGATCACTAAAAGCCCACATTTAGGTGCTTTGTAAACTTCATAAATGTAAGATTTTAAAAATTTTGTTTGTTGAAATTCATCGAAGTGTATGTTCCGAAAAAGAGCTTAGTGATCAAAAGTTTCCATTGGTATAGACATGGATTTGCATGAATAATAATAAAAAAAAAAATCTGTTTTAGAAAACCAGCTATTTTATATGCTGACTTTTCAAACATAAAACATAGCTGAGAATTTCTTCATTTTAAATAAATCCATTAGATGTCTTGGTTGTCATAGTGTACGTGTTCTCAAGCTAGAAAGGACTTTGCAAGCTCTTGACTTCACTGACCAGGAAGCCCCGGCCCAGGCAGTCTGAGACTTTGCAAGGTCATTATCTGGGGAGGGGTAGACCCCAAACGTGAACCTGGAAGGCTGATTCCTTGTCCAGAACTTCATTCTGGGGCAGATTTTCATTGACAAGGAAAAGCTTGAAATGTGAAAGGCTTTGTCTAGTGTTCATCCGCCTGGTTTGAATAATTTGTGGCTATTAGAAATTGTTATAGTTGAATAATAATCCACAATTATTATTATTGTTATTAT